CTGTAATATGCCTCCCGCTGCTCCCATTCTTTGGAAGCTTCTAGAAAGGGTTTGCAGGGGAAGCCTCCAGGGAAGTGTTTCCTGGCTGATGAAAAAGGCCAGTGTGCGTGGAACCGTTTTGGCTGCATGTTTCCCACATGCTGAGGGACGGGAAAGCGGTGCACTGAGACTTTTATTTTGCTCCGCTTGTTCCCTTCACGCTGTAATATGCCTCCCGCTGCTCCCATTCTTTGGAAGCTTCTAGAAAGGGTTTGCAGGGGAAGCCTCCAGGGAAGTGTTTCCTGGCTGATGAAAAAGGCCAGTGTGCGTGGAACCGTTTTGGCTGCATGTTTCCCACATGCTGAGGGACGGGAAAGCGGTGCACTGAGACTTTTATTTTGCTCCGCTTGTTCCCTTCACGCCAGATACGGGGAGGCTTTGAGTTTTCTCCGCAGGCAGGAAGCTAGTGCTGGCATTCCAATTTTGCGGAGGGCCATGTAAGACTGTAGTGCTGGCTTCCTGCTGTGGGAGGAGCAAGGGAGGGGGCTGAGTTGGACTCCAGAAGAGCCATATCTGGCTCCCTAGTGAGCCACAGGTTGCTGACCCCTGATATAACTGCTAAAAATCTTAGCAGTTACATGTGCTGCAGGTTCTGCAGAAGGCTCCCCAGGCATGGAGCTGCCAGCCCCTGCTGGCCCAGCTCCCGGGAGCAGAGTGGGCAGTCTTTGCCCACCCAACTCCCAGAAAGGTGGTTTTACTGCCCTGTTGCTGTGAAGCCATTTCCCCAGGTGCTGGCTGAGTTAACAGATACCATTAACCAAAAAGCATCCGCTTATTGGTTAAACAGTTAATTGGTTAAACTCTCTCCTACCTACAACCCTACAAACAGAATACCTTTTCCTAGACAAGAATGGAGTTGCTCCACCTTTCCATGTTATGGAAATTGGTTTGTAATATGGAAGCAAGGCAGTGTTTGTTCCATAATGAGTTGCCTAAGTAAATGGAGTATTAGTATTTGAGTTATCTTTTTTCTGTTTCATGGGGTAGCAGAGTTAGTCTGTAACAGGAAAAACTTAAAACAACAACAAATAGTCTAGTAGCACTTTATAGACTAACAAAACGTGTAGATGGTATCATGAACTTTTGTGGGCACAGCCCACTTCTTCAGATGAACACTCCAGTCATCTGATGAAGTGGGTCTTTGCCCACAAAAGCTTATGCTCCAATAAATTGGTTAGTCTATAAGGTGCCACAGGACTCCTAGTCACGTCTACGTGTTTTGTTAGTCTATAAAGTGCTACCAGACCATTTGCTGTTGTTTTAAGTTTTTATTTCTATGGTTTTTTGTTTCTAACTGTGATGGTAATTGCTAATTCATCCCCAGTAAAAGATGCTTCAGGAAGAGATTGCATATATAGCAACAATGCATATGGTGAATACTTTTTCCAGCCCAGGAAGCAGAAGAAGTTGCCCAGAAAGGAAATTTCTCAAGGTTGAAGAGTTTCCTAGTAAAATCTTAACATTTGTGAATTTAATGATAGACTGTAGCAGTTAGCCAAAGTTTTGTACAGTTTTGTTCTCCTGCATAAACACTCTAGTTTATTGCTGGAAGCAATTCATGAAAGCAAGTTGCATTATTTTTTTGACAATTCAGTACAGCAATTTACAGTAGTGTCTGTGGAATTAAGTGGACCTTAAGGTTCATTTCTAAAACTTTAAGTTTAAAATTGAGTAAATATTTGCTCAGTAATCAAATTTGTCAAACTAGATTCAATGATTGGATTCCTTCCAAGCTCATAAGGTAGAAGGACTCTTATTTTAAGTGACAGTTATTAGTTGAGATTTCTTTAGCATTGGATGTCTACCAGATTACTTCTATTGCTGGATCCTTCCCTGCACTTGATAATGTTCTTGTAATCAATATGTGCTTTGGTAAACCTAGCAACAAAGGATGTGGGTTTTTTTACTTGATATAAGTGAGTTATCAACTAACATAGTGCACAAAGGTGCATTATATGCTTTGGGGATATTTTAGTAGCAATAGTGTAGCACGTAGGAGTCCATTATTCTAAGTGCGATAGAAACAGAACAAAAAGAAGTTCTGTACACCTAAAAGCATGTAATCGAAGTACAAGATGAGGGAAGAGACAGATGGAATGCCAGGCAACTGAGAGAATATTGATAATCAGGGTAGGCAGTGATCTCAAGCTCACCAATGGCCTTCTCGTGGTGACACTTTTTCTGAAGACACCTCTCTCTAGCGCAGAAGAGGGCATGAGTATAAGACTGTTCTGAAAATCTTTTTCCTTTTTTTATATCTTGCCATACTTGCCACTTTTTAGTTTGATCTTTGTTAAACATTCAGCAGCAAGCTATTAACCATAAGCAGTCTCTTGTTTTAATTTCTATTTTATATTGTGAGATTTTAATAAAAATAGTCTTCATTCTCTTAGCATAAAAAGCTTGTCAGAGTTGGAACATTTTTTAATAGCAGTATCCTATTACAAAATGAATAGCTAAGTCTAAATCAATTTGATATTTTAAAAAGAACATTAATAATTGATTGCAGTATATCAAATGTGTTCAGTGCTCTTTCAGTTTTGGATTGATATCTATGTAATATGCTAATATAGTTACAGTATAGGATCTTTTGGGGATTATGGAGAAAACTTTTAGTGAGTGATTACTTTTCAGAGACTATTGTAGCGTAAGGGAATGAGACCCCGATTGTAAAGTACTAATTCCAACTTTCATTGAAGGCAACATATGAAATTAGTAATTACATTATTGGAAGGAATCTGGAGGAGAGTAAGAATAAGTGGTTTAGCTTCTAGAGATGTAAGTTGAACCGATAAGATGATGCTTATCTGTTTGGTTAATAGTTAAACTCAGTGGCTGGGATCCTACTGGGGGATGCAAGGACCGGCAGCCATGGTGAGGGACAGCAGCTGAGGGCCTGACATTAGAGGGGGTATCCCTTCTTACATCCCCAGTAAAACGTTTAAGTGTGTAACCTATAGAATTTTGATCAGTTATACAGTTAATGTTTTTGTATATTTTTACACACGTATTAGAAACCCTGAATTATGAGGAAGTTGAAAGAACTCTATAATTTAGGTCAGAGAAGGTCAATGGGGAGATAAATAATCATATATGTAAAAAGGTTGTTATGAAGAGATCAGCGATCAATTGTTCTTTATATCCACTGAGAGTACATTAAGGGAGACTTAGGTTAGGTATTAGCTATAACTTTCCAACTGTAAGAATATTTAAGCCTGGGAAAAGCTTGTCCAAGAAGGCTATGGAATTCCTATGATTTGAGAGTTTTAAGAGCCGGTTAGACAAACATCTGTTGGCGCTCTAAGCTTATCTTGCCTTAGTATGGACTGAACTGGCTAACGTCTAGAGGTCCCTTCTACACATTCATTTCTGTGATTCTAAGTATTAAATAGAACATGAAAATTCTGCTTTTTACATGTGTGGCACCTGATGTTTAGTTATATGTGGAGTAGTAAGTTATAGTCTTTAAACTTTTAAAATTGAAAATTGCTGTAGAATATTGGCAACTGATAACTGAAAGTGTTTCAGAGACAGCAAAATAGAGCTTGCTTATTTCTTAGCAATGTAGCAAATTAAAAAACAAAACAAAACTGTTGCTTGCCATTCTACAGCAGTCTTAAAAAAATACTGGCATTTCTGAAACTTTTGCCAGTAAAGGCTGGAGCAAGAGTTGCTTCATTTTCTTGTTTCTCAACAAGCTAATCCTAATAGTTTGTATTCTCTGTGTACTGTTAATAATTCCCTTCTATCCAATGTGTATTTCAGTCTTAAGAAAAGTTAGAAAAGACCGTTGTATTCAGGCCTTTCATTATGTTGGCTAACCAAAATTTGAAAAGTAAACAATATATTGAGTGCAAATTCAAAGAATGGCTTTTAATTTGATTGTAGTTACATATTCTATTTTGCGTTGAGTAGACTTGCCATTTCAGCCACTGGCATTGGCATTTTGCAGGCATGAGTGTTAACATGTCACCAGATTTAGAAATCCTAATTGTAAAATGTCTAGAGCAGAGGTTCTTAAACTGATTCCCCATTCAGGTGGTCTGCAGGTAGTTCCTACAGTGCATACTGGCCAGCTGCACTCAACAGTTCAGGATGGTCACATTGGCTTCTATTATCCCAGCACTGGAGATGGGGGACTGGTTTGCAACCCTTGACTTACAGGATGCATATTCACATGGAAAATTGTTCTTCCTAAGATTCACCATGGGCAAGGATCATTTCCGATAAAAGGTCTTCCCCTTTGGACTTTGTTCAGCCCCTCAGGTTTTTTCAAAGGTCCTGGCTATGGTAGCTGCTTACCTCAGACAGCAGGGTGGGGTTATCTTCCCGTACCTGGAAGACTGCCTTATAAAGGCATGACCTCATGCAGATACCACCAATGTGGTTTCCAGGACCAGACCTCTTTTTCATTGTCTAGACCTACTCATAAACAAACACAAGTCCACCTCAGAGCCTGTTTAAGACATTATTAGGGCCTGCCTCAGTTCCTCGCTGGCTCAAGCTTGCCCTCCACATCGTCCTGCACATCGAAACAGCGTAGTATCCATTCTTTCCACGAGCCCCCTACCACAGTACTTACCTGCCTCAGGCTTATGGGCCACATGGCTGCCACTGCTTAACGTTGTACAGCATGCATGACTTCACTTTTGTGCCCTACAACATTGACTAACAATATACAAGCTGTCCCATCATCCACATCATAAAGTAGTCACCGTCCCCAAAAGCGTGTTGCATTATCTCAAATGGTGGACGTCATCCCTAACTGGGGTCCCCTTCCATCAGCCCAAATCAGTGATGCAGATCACCACAGACACCGCCCTCCTCGATTTGGCTGCTCACCTGCACGATCACATCACCCAGGGCAGATGGCTCCCCATGAAACAGTATTACACATCAACCTCCTCGAGCTCAGGGCTGCGAGGAACACCTGCAAACACTTTGTGGCAATCGTTACCAACTCACCACCATGTTTTATATAAGCAGACAAGGGGGCGCCCGGTACTGGTCACTTTGCACAGAGGCAGTGTGTCTGTGGAACTGATGCGTTCATCACAAAGTCACCTTGAGTGCATCTTACCTACGTGGGGTGAACACCACCATGGTGGATGCTCTCAGTTGCAATTTCTCTGCTGACGGAGAATGGGAAATACACCCGGCGGTCCTTGCTTCTGTCTTGCGCGAATGGAGCAACCCATCAATAGACCTCTTTGCAACTCATCACACCACCAAATGCCCCTGCTTCTGCTCTCGAGCAGGTCTGGGTAAAGAATCAGCAGATGATTCTTTCCTAATCACCAGGAGGGAACCTCCGCATTATGCCCTCCCATCAGTTCCATTGATCTCGAGAGTCCTTCGCAAACTTCAGTCTGATTGGGCTCAGCTCATCTTGATAGCACCTTCATGGTTGAGGTAGACTTGGTTTCCTTACCTCCACAGCCTGTCCATCAAACCATTGATTCCGCTTCCTCACTGCCACTACCTCCTCTTTAAAAATCAAGGCAGGCTATTGCAGCCCCAGCTCTACACCCTGCACCTTCATGCCTGGCACTTCTCTGGTTCCACGACAATGAAACTGTCTATTCAGAGCAGGTGAGACGGTGCTCTTGCACACTTGATGTCCGTCAACCAGAGCCACTTAACCTGCGAGAGTGGAGGCAGTTCTCTTCATGTTGCCAACAAAAGCAGGTTGATCCCCATACTTCAGACACAAACAATCCTTTATTATGTACTACACCTAAACCATGGGGGCTTGTTCATCTCCTCACTGAAGGTACATCTCGCTGCAATAATAGCGCTTCATGTGTGGGCTGACGGGTTTTGGGTCTACGCTCACACTATCACCAGAAGATCCTAAAAGGCTCAGAATTTGTACCCCCCACATAAGGTACCTAGATCTTGTCTTGGACTGCCTCGTGAGGCCTCCTTTCGAACCTATGGCTACCTGTGTCTTCCATTCCTATTGTTGAAAGTGTTCCTACTTGCCATCACCTTGGCAAGGAGAGTTGGTGAGATTGCTGAATTGGTGGTGGGACCACCCTACACCATCTTCACAAAGGACAAAGTAACCCTACACTCACACCCTTCCTTCCTGCTCAAAGTCTGCACCTCCTTCCACATCAATCCAATAGTGTTTTCCATATTTTTCCGGAAACCCCATACATCTCCTAGAGATGCTATGCTACATACCCTCGACATAAGGCACTCATTGGCCTTCTATATTGATAGAACCCAAGCCTTCTGTAAAACTTCACGCTTCTTCGTGTCCATTGCAGAATGCTTGCGAGGCACACCAGTCTCAACTCAGCATATATCTAGATGGATATCATCATATATCATTTGATGTCACTCTGTCTGTAAGAGGTCTTTACCAGTTCCATCAAGAGCGCACACTACTCGTGCTAAGGCAATGTCAATGGCTGTTCTGAAGAATGTGCCTCTTAAAGACATCTATTAGGCAGCGACCTGGTCATCTGATCATACTTTTGCTAATCACTATACTGTTATGCCACAGCTTACAGAAGATACAGTGGTGGCTACAGCAGTATTCTCTACAGTGACGGTGAGCCCCACCATCCTGGTGGAGTCCTGCTTTCTGGTCACCTACAGTGGAGCACCCAGGGGGACATCACTCAAAGAAGAAACAGAAGTTACTTACCTGTGCAGTAACGACTGTTCTTTGAGATGTGTCCCCTCTTTGGGTGCTCAACTATCATCCCTTCCTCCTCGCTTCCTCTTGTGCATGCAGGCTGTTTCTCGTGCATGTGTGACCTATCTGATAACTGCTCTGAAAAGCTCCGATCTGTGGCTCCGGGGGTGACCTATCACCAACAGTGGAGCACTCAGAGGGACACATCTCAAAGAACAGTCCTTACTGCACAGGTGAGTAACTTCCTTTATGTTGATCTCCAGCCAGGGCTGTGGCTGCTGAGGAGAGACTGCCCTTCTTCCCAGCTTCAGGGGAGAGACCCCTACTGATACTAAAATTTGAGTTGTGTGCTTTTATTTGTAGAACAAAATGTTTAAGATTTCTTTATGTAGCGCTTTCTTCCAAAACGCTTTGCAAAAGTTAGCATATGATGCAAACACATTGGGAAAGGATTAAGTGGTCTGCCAAGATGCTCAGAAATTCTCAAGTGATTAGGAAAAATGGTTTGAGAGCCACTGGCCTAGAGTATTTTGTGTGCAGACTATTGTGATAACAGCTTTTGAAATACAAATGTGTTATCCTAAAATGTAAGTAAAATTGTTTTTTTTTGGGTGTTAGCTTTTCATTTTGCATTATTTTTGTAACTTTTATTTTTTTCCCCTTTTCAGATACAGAACGTTGTCTCTCAAACTGGATTAAAGCAATCTTGTTGACATTTTTATTCATACTTTTTTTTTACTTAAAGTGCCATGAGAAAATTTGCATATTGTAAGGTGGTTCTTGCCACCTCACTGGTTTGGGTCCTTTTGGATATGTTTCTATTGCTTTACTTCAGTGAATGCAACAAATGTGATGAGAAAAAAGAACGAGGCCTACCTGCTGGAGATGGTGAGTGGATGTTCATAAATTAAAACTTGGTTTAAATGTTAGTGCATACTTGCCCATTGATAATGCCCAACAGTATGATTGTGGCTTCATTTTGTACCTCTCACAAATGTTTTCAGAATTTTGAACAAAAAAACCTGTGGAAGTTGTGTAGGCTCTCATCTGAGGCATTTTGAAGACAAATTTCATTTTGTTAGTAATCAATTGCCATGAAGTTGATAGTATAAGAACGTAAAACAGAGTAATGCAAATCTTTCTCCGCTGTAATGTAAATCTACAGTAACTCCACTGACATCAGTAGCATTCGAGCTGTGTAACTAAGCTGTATTTAGCTTAGTATCATAATTTTGAAGGGCAGTGATCTCATTACCAAACAAATGTTGGAACAAAAACCACATTTATTAAAAATTAGTACAGTAAACCCTACAGTATTGGGATGTAATAAATGCTGATTTTTGAAACAGTAATTATTTTATTCTATAGCGCAGTTCCTCAAGAAAGCTCTGCTATTCTAGACCCCCTTTGTTTCAAGGAATAGCTTCCATATGCTACCCAATGGAGCTCAATGTTTTAGAGAAAATATTTTTAACAGTATAAAACTGTTACTTTCTCTATATATAATTTGAGAGTTTGTGCATTTGTCTGTCTCGGAATCTGTTCATCCATGGGTCCATTTAGGGACTCCTACATGGTAATTGCTAGAACCACTAAAGTTGGCATGCAGATTCTTCTTATCCTAACTTAAAGCAAGGTCAGAGTTTGCTTTTGTCTGGAAAAGGGGATGTGCCTGGAATTTAATTGTTTTCCATAATATGGAAAGGGAGGGGTCTTATAGGAGGGACAGTTACGCTCTGCACACAGTGGGCAGTGAGCATGGGGGACAATTATACTGCAGAGTGACCATTGGGATGGCTGCACCAGGAAGAGAGTGGTCAGCTAGGGTTGGGGAGGGCTGAATATTTCCGGTCATCAGCCTTCGTACGTGGTCCTCTTGACCACGACCCAACCCCTCCTCCCGGCTCTTGGCTGCAGTGCCAGATGGAGAAGGGGAGCCTTGGCCCTTGCCCTCTCCCCCTGCCCTTCCATGAAGAGCTGCTGGTCAGAGGAGGACAACAGCACGGTGCCTCCCCCCAGGCTCCCACAAGGAGCCATGTGGAGTAGTCATTCCCGTCCTGTGAGGAGTATAAAAGTGAAATAATGTTCGATTTCTCATTTTATCTTTCATTTAGCAAACAATTGGCATGAGAAATAATATGTGTAGTTATAAGAGTAACATTAAATTTGTTTGTTGCTACAGATCAGGATGAGTTTAACACATTGTTTCCAATTTGTAATAAATTCTGATAAAATTAAAATCCGGAGGAAACTGAGACAGGATTGTTTATAAGAATGAATTCAAATTACATTCTTTCAGAATGGCAAATCATAAAGTATATCATACATATTTGAAGGGATTAGTCTTCAGTTAAGTAGAAATTTGTATAAAAATAAATTCATTTGCCAACCTCCTAATCTATGTAGAAGTGGATGTTACTAGATATGAAATAACCCCGAAATAATAAAAAGGTAGAGGTTTATTACAGAATTGAGTTAAATTTGTGATGCAGTAGATTTGTACAGTGTAAAATGTGAGGACAGAAAGACAGGTACTTGTTGGACTTTCAGGTGGACAACAGCTGCTGAGAATGAGACTTAATTGCTCTGTTAAATATCTTAAGTCTGAAGCCTTTATTTTTCCAGTATTTAAAAATGTGACATTTTAAAGTCTTGCTTCCTATGAAAAATGCATTATTAAACAAATTGGATATGCTTTTGTAAAACAAACTACAAGAAAATGTAAGTGTGCCTGCAATAGTCTTATCTCTATAGTAAATTTCAGAATAGTCTAGTGTTAAAACTTTTTTGTTAGTTCCAGAACCGGTACAGAAACCACATGAAGGTCCGGGAGAAATGGGAAAACCTGTTGTTATTCCTAAAGAGGATCAAGAAAAAATGAAAGAGATGTTTAAAATAAATCAGTTTAATTTAATGGCAAGTGAAATGATTGCACTTAACAGATCATTACCTGATGTCAGGTTAGAAGGGTAAGTACCGTTTATTCTATCAAAGGCATGCATTAATTTGAAGAACACACATTAAGAATTCTCCATAGTAATCATTGTTCTTTTATATATTGGTAATCAGTGTAGATTTGAAAGTTATAAGAGAGTGTTACAATTACTGAGGTTGGAGCTACATTTGTAAAATTCAACTTAAAAGCAAAGCTAACAAATTTCCACTTACTATTATTGTAACCATGCCATTAGTAATGATTATTAGTGATAGAAATGTAGCTGTGTTAGTCTGGTGTAGCTGAAACAAAATACAGGACTAACAAGATGGTTTATTAGATGATGAGCTTTCGTGGGCCAGACCCGAGGAAGTGGGTCTGGCCGATTATTAGACCTTTGTCAAGAAAAGAAACTTAACTGGCCTTTTGGCAAGTAAACTTAGAGTAGATAAAAATCAGATATTAAATACCAGATTTCTTTAAAACACATTTTTCTTTCTAAAAATCCTATATAAAATTAAGTTTAAAAATGACTTATTGTATTATCATTAAAACCTAAATTTACTATAATCTATTAAAATAAGTAAGCAATGCATGAAAGTTTTTTTTTAAGAAAGTGAAGCCCCCAAACTGATAAATTACTAGCTAAGTGTAATTTTAAGTGGGATCAGAGCTTAAGTGCAAAACAAGCTTTCACTGGTGAAATATGGTAGGTGTAAAGAGAATATTTTCTTCATATGAGTTTATTCAGCTGTTTCTGTTCAATGGGGCTAATTCATTTAAAGTTGGGGCAAAACTGATTGGGATTTGAAAAAAAGCAAGAAAGATTTTCTACTAATCTAAGGGTAAGTTGGCACTTGCACTTGATCAACAAGGCTTTTGTAATTCACAGGCTCTTAAAAAAATCTCCCAAGAATGAAAATGTTTTGCCTTGGCAAGTGAAAGTGGGAACACTGCTTTGTTGGCAGGAGTAGGGGGGAGGAAGTATTTTCTTAGCAAAAGTGCTGACAAATGGTGTTTGCACAAGCTGACTTTTAGCAACAAGACTGTCCTTTTGTTTAATCAGTTTTTGAATACAAAATGTTTTGATCAACTTTTCTTACGTATTGAGCACATTAGGGTATAATTTTATTATACAAATTCAGAATGCTATTTTTGTGCATTTTTTATTGAATTTGTTTACATCCAAAAGCATCTTGACAGAAACAATGAATAAAAAATAATCTAATGTATTAAAATGCAAAACTGACCATTTTCTAACAATGTAAAAATTAAATATTTGAATAAATGGTTGTTAAGCTATGTAAATGTGTATAGAAATAGTGTATTCTTCGCATTACAGTATCAACAAGTGGTATCAAATTTAGTTTAAAGGCTATACTTAGTTGCAAATGAATATTTTAATGGTTATGCCAGCCAGTGAGAGTCATTCTTTCTTTAGGAAAATAACAAACAAATGTAGGACACATGATTAAAATTGGTTTAAATTATCAGTCGGCTATGGAAAATAAATCTCAAGAGAAAATCTGAAGAATGCAGAAGTCTCAAATATATAATGTACCAAACTTAATTCTTCTTTTATATAGGAGAAAATATTTAACAAGAAATGGTATATTTGAAATAAGTTTATCTAATGTAATTGATACATATTTTTGTCTAGGTTCCATATAATTCTGTAATGTCATTCTGGCTTTACAACATTTGAAATTGCTTGCATGCTATTGACTCTTTCAGATTCAATTTTAGTTAACAATGACTGAAATAAAATGGTAGCTTCTTGTATTTTTCCTAATGACTTGGGTGGGAGGGACTTTCAGCTGGGCAGAGCTCATGAAGTAGCTTTTCTCCCAATTTTGCTGCCTGCATTCTTTTCAGTGAATTGGGGGATAAAACCCTCTCCTCTGGAAGCTCCACTGGAGCTGCTGCTGATTCAGGGTTCAGTTGCTAGACTTATTTATTCCCCCTTCTATCCTGCTATCCTAAAGGAAGTAATCAGGGGTTTAAAAAAAAGATAATTGTTTTCCGCTGGAAATTTCTAGTTCTACAACTTAAAAATACTACTTCAAAAGTAACTTGAGGAGCATGTGGGTATGTAGTATAGGAGATGGTAGAGTTTTCTGTAATGTGATCGATTTGTATTAAGCTAGATCTAGCTTTCAATGACATGGGTTCATAATTAACTTTTAATAACTGAGGTAGATTATGTATTTATATTTAGCTTGATTGCTTCATTTTCAAAATGGCAGTTTGTTTATTTATTACTGCTCAATTCTATTTTAGTACGATAGAGGGATATAAGCAAAAACTTTTCTTGAATGATGCACAGATTTTTCTATTTCATGTATATGTATATATGTTTGCATATATTTAATTGCATCCTTTCTTCTCTTTCTTGTGTGTCACTTATTCCTTCATGGCTATCTCTTGTAAATAGATTTGTGCTGTCAAGGCACATGGTTCCACCTATTTGGATTCATTTGTATGATATAACCCTGATAGTATAAGCTATTTGGAATAGAAGAGAGCATCTTTGAGGTACAGTGTGTGAGACTTTTGGTTAACACTGTAATATGCCAGATGGTTTTAGTTGTAGGAGCTCAAAAGGTTTTCTTAAGATTATTGTTGAGGGAATATAATCTACAATTGCTTTTAATTAGTCTAAATTTGATATGTTCGTCATTAGAGCTTTTTTACTGGAGAGATGGAAGTGAAATTCAGAAATAATTGCCACATTTGGAAGATTAAAGTTCTGTTTCAATTCAAGGCATGTTACACTATGAGATGCACATGAAACCAGTTTTTAAGTTTACCTCATTATTGCTTTGAAAAAAGTCTTTATACTAGTTTAGAGGGTTCAATTACTTTTACAGTTTAGTGCAAACATGAGAAATTAAATTAATTGTGTGCAGGTGTAAGATTATTTACTTAGACATTTGCAAGTCCTATTTTATAGGGTAAGACAATCTAAATTATCCAGTAAAAGGCAAGAGAGCTTTTTAATTATGCAAACTAAGAAAATAACAGCAATCCTAATGTACTTTCAAATCTAAAATTTGACCTACAAAATTTAAAAGGATTTTCTTATGTAGCATAACACATTTGGGCAGCCGCCAGATGCCATCCAGCTGATTAGCAGAGCTCCCATAGCTGGGAGCATGCATTGCATATCTGTACATGCCTTGGTGCACATAAAATTTATTCTACACGTGGATAGAAAAAATAGAGGGAACATTGTATTACGTAGTTGTGGGCTTTTTTGCTTAAGTTTCTGTATTTTGCTACAGGATACTAGACTTGATGATCTGATACCAGGCAGTGTATTATGTAACCTTTTTAATTTAAGTTTTTCTGGATATTCATCACCATATCTGTGAACAGCTTTTAAAAAAAACTCATTTTGCATTCATGTTATGATGCTATGATAGTGTGATAAGGTGATTAAGGATCCCATAATGACATGTTTAACAATTTCTAGCAAAATTATGCAAACGGATGGTACTATGTTGTGGATGTATCAAACTGTCGTAGGCCTTCATACTGTTTTGTTGAAAACCTAAAACAAAAGGTATAATGTAGTAAATTTAAATTATAATGTAAACATTTTTCAAAACATACCATGAAATGACAGTGAATTTTGAATTAAATGTTAAGTATCTTCTGCAGTAACTAGATTCGTTTTGCTTTAACTGATTTGTATTGGTCTTTGCACCTGGATGTTCTCGTACAATAATGATGGCTATGATATTTTAAAACTGAGTTCAGAAAGGATTTAAGGCATTTACACATGATTACCCAGTGTTTTTATATATTTCTACATAGTTTGATTTGAAATTTGTAGCATAAGATACATATCAGAATTGAATTTTTAAAAATAATTGCCAGGCATTTACTCTTAGTTGTAATTCTGTGCCAAGAAATTAAAAAATCTTCACATGGTACTTTAAAATTCTGCAGATTATTTTTGTCAAAATAATACTATATAATCATGTCAGTTTCAATTGTTTGGGTAACTTATTTAAAAACACCTGTCAGCAAGTATGTCTGTAGTAGTACAGACATGTAAAAATTCCTCAAGTAGAGAGTTAAAGAAATCCCTCTAATAAATTAGATCCTACTTTGCTGACCCTTCCCTTCCAGTTCTCTCCCCATAGCCCCAGTCTTGTCTTCTATATGTAGCCCGTAGTGGCAGCCGTCATCACTGCAGCTAAGTTTTGAGTGAAGAAAAAAGAAATTCTGCACATCCAATATTAATTTTTGCAAAGTTCTGCATTGTGCAGTGGTGCAGAATTCCCCCAGGAGTAAACAGTGGAATGGAACTTGACACTTCAGCTTTTTGCTAGAATATAACGAAGATGTCGGAGTGCATTACACAAACAGCTTCTAATTTGCAATATGCTATAATGTGGATTTTTATTACTAAATCACTTGTACTTAGTAAAAAATCTAGCATTTCAGGTTATTCCTACATATATAGTTCGTCTTGTGTTCGGAGACTGCATAAATAGTTCATATTGAGAACCAAATTTTATGAAAAATGGAATGCAAAAATGAGTAAATATCACTTCACTTCAAAGTTATACTATACATTTTTTGAAAGGAAGGATTGAATGGAGTACTGATTTCTCAACATTTATTAAAAATGAGTATTAAGTTTTAAAAGTTTTTAAGAACAGAGAAAATTATCTATTTGAAATCAGGCTGTCACTATAGTCTTTTCAGTATTAGATTTTGTAGGAAGGCCTTTCCTACAATATATACCATTTTGAGGTATGTTCACAAGTTTCGCTATCACCTTGTTTAGAATTCAAGGATTTGGATCTATTGTTTCAATTGAAATCTATGTCAATAGACCATTTTCCACTTAAGCTATGTATACATATTAGTGATGCCAATTTTGGTATCAAAACAAGTGTGTGTGTGTGTGTGTGTGCGCGCGCGTGTGAGAGACACACACACTGGTTTTGCTGTTGCTCTTTCATTAGGCATCTCTGAAATTTGAATTCAAGTCTCTATGGATCCCACTGTTGGTGTATG